ATGTAAAAGTAATTTGTAGAGTAACAGTATGTATAGGTGACTTGCAATAGCTTTCAGGAATTTAATTCCAGGAATTAAAAAACCCAACTATAGAGAAGTCTGTGAAAGGACTGTGCTGCTTCTAGGTCCGTCTTCAAGAACAGCAAATGGCAGGGACTGGATTCATGTAGTTCACAGAATCTGACTTTGAAGAGTTTTAAGTGCCCTGATTCAAGTGTCGTAAGATTGAGCTGACGAGCACTAGGAAAAGTATGGAAGCCATACAGTGTATTTGTAATGTTAGTAAGCATACAGATTTACACATTCCTGTATCTACCTCATATGAGCACAAAATTGATTGCTAGAACAGACTTTCATAATTCACCACTCTTTTTTTGTAAAGGTTTTTGGTTTTTTTGTTTTAAATAAGGACTGGAGTTAGAATGATCAACTGTTAATTTGATTGATTTCAAGGTATCTTCTCTGTAACAGAAAAAAAATATGCAAAAGACTCTCTTAGCAGCCTGGTAGCCTAGAGAGCAGAACACAAAACTAACCACTGTCAGATTTAGAGGTTAACCTTACCTTTTTAATCCACAAAACTAAGGGACTGAAACCACTTGATTCCAGCCCAATGACCAACTTCCTCCATGTGGCTTCTAGACACAGACACAGTCGCAGCAATGCTGACGAGGGCTGCCCAGGTGTCTACACAAGGTTCCCTGGGGGTTTTTTCACATCAAATTTTGGAGAAGGCAGATTTTAACTTTAATTACATCACTCCCTGTTGAAAATGAGATAAAAATCTCATCACATATGGCTATCTCCATACTATCATACAGGGCTGAAGAGATGGGGGAGTATGTTTTCTCATTAGAAAGCTTTCCCATCAAATTTTACAGCATTAGTGGGTTTCTACCCATAAGACACATCCATGTAGTAGACAAGTGAGTGGGTTTGCTAGAGTGCTAACTTCCCATAGCTTATGATATAAAAAATAGACATGTGACCTGTATATCAAAGGAAAAAAAATGTTAAAATGCTAAACAAACATTTCACCTGGCATGGGCAAAATAGTAGACAGAAGATGCTATCTTGTAGGGATACAGTTGAGAGACAATTTATTTTGCTTAACTTGCATGGCAATGGAAAGGCTGGTTAGCCTATGCAGGTAAAGCTGGTGCAAAACCCCCTTAGCTCCTCAGAGCATGGCAGGGACCCAGCTCCTCACAGGGCTGTCCCAGGAGACCCTCAGCCCCATGGGCTGGAGGGACACCCAGCACCTTGAATCCATGGGAAAAGCTCTCCCTGGATGACCTTAGAGACCAATAGGTGTTACTGCCTATGGGGTACAGAAGAAGAGCACCTTGGACTTGCCTTATAAAGCTCCATTTCTAACTGTTTTCATGGGTGAGGAACTCTATTCTCTGTGTCCATGGAGGTCTGAGTGCCTGCAACTGGAGTAAGAACCAAGGGGCCTGTGCATCTGCAGTGCCAGTAACACGCACATTGCTTGAACGTGTACGTCAGTGTGACCACTTGCACATATCAAGTTGTACCAGCTGTAAAATAGGATAGAGTAGTGGGAGCCAGGTATCAAAGCAGCTATAAATCTGGCCTGGCTACTGGAGGGGTTAGGGAGTCCAAGCCAGCTGCTAGAGAAAGTGTAGGGTGTGGATCTAAATACAGGAATTCCCAAAACAATGCACAGACCACTAGCACTCTGTAACATGGTCCACAGAATCCTGTTAGGCAGTAAAATTTAGTCTTCCCTGCTATAAATTTGATGGGTGTTACAGGTATATTAAGATAGAGAAGACTGATGCTTGTCCATTAGCTTCAAGTGATGGAACACATAAGCAGCAGAGAGGTAATATCAAGTAATACTTTAACACAAAGTAATGGAAGTGATGTAATAACACAAGTTTTATTGCTGTTGCTTATTCCAAATCTCATTTGCCATTGTCTGTTTACCAGAGTGGGCATTAATATATTTAATTAAAAACATAACAGGAATTAAATGGGTAGTTAACAGACACATAAAGCGTTATATTACAGGGCACGTCCAAGTTACTGCCATGTGGAGCACAGACAGCACTCGAAGCTGAGCAATGCCAGAGCTTTGATCCCATTATCCCTAAGGAAGTACACGTGACCTGCTGCTTTCAAAAGTAACAGGGAGGGTAGAGGGGTCATGCAGACAATGTGGCTTCAGTTACTAATTTTTTGCAATACTTGTTTCTTTCATGATATAAAATTGAAATGCAGTATAAAAATACATCTTTTCACAGGGTCTAATAGTGCCGAGTGCAACCTCAACAGTTTAATGCAGTAGTATTTAAGCTTGAGGTACATTAAAAGTGCAAATTCTGCTGGAGTTTCTTCAGGATACCATGTTCAAGTCTTTTCCTCTTGCTTCCCAAGAGAGGCTGCATTTTAAATTAAAACAGTTTTTTTTAACCTCTCCCATGGAGCATATTATGCAGAGGTGCTACTGATACTGTGATTCCTCTTACTACAGGGATAGTTAACGGGATACCATAAGTTACAAACACGCCTTGAATACACTTTTTACATCCGAGAGTCCTCTTCAACTTGCTTTTCATAGACATCTTGATCCTTTTTGACTTTTTTCTTTTCTTCCTCGTCAAGTTGGGCTTCAATCTCGTTTGGATCAATATAGGTATAAAAATAAGCCATGACAGCAAAAATGATGCAAACTGCCAACAGCAAAGCAGCAAACAGCACGTACTCTGCCCACTGTAAAAAAAAAAAAAGTATAAAACTTACCCATCAATGTTTGTTCCTCAAAAGAATTACACCTTTTTACTATTTGCAAGGAATGACGTTAATTCAGAACATGAAACTGAGCGCATTAACAAATACCATATAACTTAAAGAACTAAGTATTAGATGTATATAATACATATTAAAGCAACCCATAATTGAGGCCCTTTCAAGCAGTTCTGTCTTCAATGAAGAGACAAAAGTTCTATGAATGCTGGAAAGTTCTACAATATCCTCTTCCTAGAGGCATGGGAATGGAACAAAAGCCCGAAGACTCAGCCCCTCCTCCTTTTGGTCAGGTTATCTCATTTTTAACCAGGCTGGCAATCATCCAGCTTCCACTTAGGTCAGCAGTAAAGTTTCTACTGACCACAGATCTGGGCAGAGAACAAGAGCAAAACCTTTGGTTTCAAAGTGCTATCTCCACCTGAAAAAACCTCAACAGCTCTGGTTCCATGCTCTTTCTCGTTAATTTAGCTGAAACCAGGACTGCCAGACCCATTTCAAAGACAGGCTCTCCCCTCTCCCAGATATTCCTTTTGATTCATTAAGGAGTGCAACGAGCAGTCTGAGAAAGTCTTGTCCAAGTGCTCTTCACCAGAAGAGCCACAGCTCTCATACCCCGAGGAGTGAGGGTTAAAACCAGTGGAGCTAGAAGAAGGGACATGACGAGGCTGAGGTATGCAGGTGAAGGCTCATTAGCAGTGAACAGAATTTCAGTATTTTAATCCCATTAGTCTAGAATTTCAGCCCAGAAGTTCACAGCATTTCCACACCATGAGAAGCAATTTATTACAGAGATGCTAGAAACTGCTGCTTGCAAGGGAAGGAGCCTGACAGAGCAAGAGTTAGGAATGGCAGACAGCAGATAAGGAGTAGAAACCTTTGTCGAAGACGTAATTTGTTAGAGTTGTTTAAAGTTTAGTTTGTACATGTACATGCATACACATGTTGGGGCAGCACTGGGGAAAAAGGCCAATGGAAACTGTAGAAGTAGCTCCAGAAAACAATTTACCACCTTGTTGTTCAACACTAGTATTAATCCAGATAGCTTATAAAGATTCATAACTCCATTACTTATATACTCTAGTGAGATTCAGCCAAGCACTAGTTTTACGACTGACTGGTACACTTGTAGCTAACGCTTAACCTCCTACATTCCAATTACAAATGCAAATCCACCCTAATGCTGATGTTCAAAAGTGGTAGTTGAGGATTATCAGCCATGAGTCCCCCCCATATTAGAGCTGCTTTCTCATAGTGTAATATAAAAGCATGCAACTTCTTTTGCACTTACCTGCTGGCTGAGTTTGGATGCTCCAGCCACGATAAGGACAATTATATTACCGACAGCCACCGTCAGCAACCATCCTGCCTGCAGCACTGCCTTCATATTAGATGGGGCCTAGAGAAGTAAAGGCACTTAAGTTTTAGTCAAATACTGCTATGATTTGTTTTCTGATGTTTACTGCATTCTTTACATTATAACACTGGTTCTCTGCAGGGAGGAGGATTTCTTGAGGTTTTTTGTTGTTGGGTTTCTTTAATTAAAAATTGCTGGAGAACTAAACAGGCCTGGGGAAGGCCTTGAAGAGCAAGAGATTAGTAGTACTGACTATAAAACACCTTTTGCTTTGTATACGCTGAGTAATTAACAGGCACATTTTACTTCCGATTCAGTCGCACACGGTACACGTTAAATGAAGAAATTGAGCGCATCATAGTCTAGCAAGCCACATCTTACAATGTTCCCATCACTGCAGTTTATAGTCTCAGAATTAAGGGAAGAAATACACACAGCTAATAAACTGAAGTTGGAAGACAAATTAATTAAGAGTGTCTAATTAAACTGCTCCTAAAGACCGTATGGAGGAAATTGGTGCAGAGATAAAGTGTCAGTACACGTTCATTTGAGGGCTCTCCAGTTTGATTTTCTAGCAGCAGTACAGTTTTCACTTATTTTCAATGGAAAGTCACATGTGAGAAGGAGATTTGAGGGCTGGTGGTCAAGTCTTCAAACAATGTAATTCAGCATAGCTTTATGGAAAGCACTGAAGGGTAGTGAAACAAGGCCAACTCGCGCCAGCCTATAGTACTGCTAGGGAGCTCTGGAGGACTTCATTGTTCAAACAAAGCAGCAATATGGAACCAGCACTTAAAAACAATAAGTCACAGAAGATCTTCATTTGTACCAGGGTAAGGACTCCACTCAGGACTCTAACACAATGATAGCTCTGAAGAGCAAAACCTACCTGTGAGTATGAAAACTCCAGCCCAGTGACAGAGAAAACTACTTCTGCACATGTAAGAATAAAATACTGAGGGATCTGCCAAGCCATATGGACTGTATTGGGTGGGATATCTTCAGAATACAATACATCAAGAACGTCTCCAGAACACTGGAAATTAAAACAGCACATTAGTAATAGTGATAGAGTCTGTACACTAAAGGCACTCTAAACAGTTCTATATCATCTCTATAATCATATATACACAAAGTTCTGGGTAAATAAGAAATAGTGTATACAAAACGCTGCATATCTAGTTATGAAGTAATAGTTATTTTACAACAGACTTCATGCAAATCCTTTGTGTCTTATAAGCCTAAAGATTTAAGGCCATTAGTAACGAACATGAGTTCTTGCATCATATCATTATCATACCCATCATTATTTTTATAGTTAATGATGTTTTTATGTTCTGTTTAACATATCAGAATTCTATCATATGTACAATTAATGACAAGAGGGATAATTCTACAAGTGTTTTTTTAATTAAAGAAAATATTGAGATGAAACATGATTCTGTATTGTCCATTGAACAGCACTGGCAACTCACCCCATTAATTACAATCGTATTGGCACTGCCAAATCCAAATGCCTTTGAAGTAATTGAACAGGGGACTGAATTTTTAAAAGCCATAATCTCATCTTTTCTGAAAAAGAAAAAAACACAGTTCAGACCATAGGTATAGACAATTGTGTGTATTCTATAAAATAAGAGTTTATGTCCTTTCTGGAAGGACAGGCATGTCTTTAAGTGGTTAGATTAAAGGAAAATGCTTACCTTCCTCCTGGAAAGAGGCTATAATTACTGGCAGAAAGAGGCTTCAGTATTCCAAAATAAGTGCCACCCATAGTGACATTGATATCATCAGGCAAATTGTTTATGAACCTTTAAAATGCAAGAGTGATGAAATACTAAACAAAATATGCATAAGTCAAAGAATACATGTTTTACTTTTAATTAGGTACTGGCAGCACAACAAGTCTTCCCCTTTCATTTTTGTCAGTTAACATTTCCGAAAGAACTCCAAATCTCTTAAAATGTGGCTAATGCAAAAAGCAAGATAGACCCACGTCAGCCCTCTGCCTGCTGAAGAGAATGTCAAAAGCAAGCCTCTACTACAACCAGTAACAAATGCATCTGCAAATAGAAGACGTAGAAGAAAAGCAGAGAAGTAGTAGTATATGTCTTACCCAAGCCTAGACGTGCAATTTGTGCTGGTTGTCTACAAAAAAGTCTAGACAGAGCAAAACATACACTTCCAATTTTTGCTGTTATACCCAAAGTAGATATGCAAGATAGGTTAAATGAATCATGCTCCAAAAGTTCCTACATCCCCTAAACATTGAGTGAAGTGTCCAGCAAGCAGAGAGTTCCTGCAGTATAGAAAACTCCATTAAGCAAGAAGAAGAGTCCACCCAAGAGGCAGATTGAAGAGACAGTCTCACTACTGCCAGAATTTGGGAGCAAAACAAACTCTACCTGATGAGATTATTCCCTTCTTCTGGTTTTGATGTGACCTCATCAGACAGCTGGTGGAAGAGACCGTTATCAAGATACTTCATTGGCATCAGTGAACAGCCTAGATGTGCACTATTACATAGCAGTGAGAACTGACAGAGGCTTCAGGGCAAGACTCCAGACCTTCTCTGTTAGGATCCTACTAGGATACACGCCTACTAGAAAATGCTGGATTCAGGTACATCACACATTTAATCACTGATGAAAGGGTAACTGCCAAATTAAATACTAAGCTGGTAATTTTTTTAATTTTTTTTTTTAAACAACATCCTGCCCTGCTCTCTATAGCTCCTCTGTCTCACTTGTACAGCAGAGAGGGGAGAGAGAGAAAACAAGATAAAGGGAAAAGCTACCCAGATCTTGTCCTCTCAGCTTCACCCACTCCACATCATAGATAGCTGCTAAGACAGGAATGTATAGCTTGGGAATTAAGCAGGCTTACCAATTCAGCAGCAACGTCCACCATGTTATTTTTAATTCCAAGAGTGTAACGGCTTTTCTCTGACAACGTGACAGGTTTCGTTATAGGTATATTTCCATAAGTTATGGTTAATGATCGCAACTGAGAAGTCTCAAATGTCATGTAGTCCGTCTACAAAGACAAACAGATTGCTATGAACTTCCATGCACTGCATACATGTCTACACCTTTGAGGAAATGTTATGGACTCCAGGGGGTCAGAAGCTTACACGTGTGTTACTTCTGAAGTGCCAGAGACCATAAGTATCTCCTAATTTTCATTTTTATTAGGTTTTCCACATCAAGTACTAAATTTGATCATTATTTTTTATTAATTTCTTTTGTTAACAGAAGCTTTAAAGTAACATGAGCTTCCCACAAGCATTATGGAATAGCTGTTATATTTTCCTGTGTATTTCTTGCTCCAGATAAATCAGGCTTACCACCACCACCAAGTAAAATGCTGTTTAGTTACAGAGGCAGCACTAGCATAAGTTAAGATGCAGCATTTTCCAAATAGCAACACCTCCTAAGAGACGCAAATGCAAGCTGCATCTTTATGGTTTCATTTATTACCAGGACATGTTTTAAATATTCTAAATACATTTCATCAGCATAAAATACTTAAAATGTTAATAAACACATTAATGCAATACTAAAGTAACCCTTTTGTTTTATAGGATTATAAAAAGCATTTTATAATCCAAAACGTCTGGATCATAAGGTGTCTGTAGTAAGGAGCTGAGCATTTTACACCCTTCATTTTCAGGTGTGCACCATGGTTGTATCAATTCCACATCAGCATACAATTTGGGTGCCCTTATCGTCTCCTCACAACTCAGTTTCCATGTGAGGCAAATTTGGAGGAGGACAGAGTAAGGGTTTCTCTTCTTACAGGGGAAAAAGGACTGCAGGCTACCAGAGAACACACTTCCTAACATTAATTTTTAAAAATGTCCATCAGCTCCACCACATTTTCCTGTCAATAGGGCTGTCAAGGTTATGCTGTAATAGAACCTGATAGGGTTCTTTAACAGCAAAATCTGAAGCTTGATATACATGATGTAGCCACAGAAAAAGTAAGTGAATACTCACAGTACCAAGCAGTGACTTAGAGCTGAATGGACTTTTATTGAAGGAAGGGATGTTCTTGCTGTTAAGAAATGGCACCTTGTCCTGGTTTTGGCTGGAATAGAGTTAATTTTCTTCCTAGCAGCTGGTATAGTGCTGTGTTTTGGATTTAGGATGAGAACAATGTTGATAACACGCTAATATTTTAGTTGTTGCCAAGCTGTCAAGAACTTTTCAGCTTCTCGCACTGCCCTGCCAACAAGAAGGTGGGGGGCGCCCAAGAAGCTGGGATGGGGCACAGCCAGGACAGCTGACCCAGACTGGTCAAAGGGATAGTCCATATCATATGACATCATGCTCAGTATATAGCTGGGGGAATTGCCTGGGAGGCAGTTTGGCTCAAGAACTAGCTGAGTATCAGGTTCAGGTGGTGAGCAATTGTGCTGTGCATCATTTGTTTTGTATATTCTTTTATCATTACTATTCTCTTCCTTGTCTGTCCTATTAAACTGTATTTACCTCAACCCACAAGTTTTACCTTTGGTGGTTGGAGGGGTTTTTTTATTGTTGTTGTTGTTTTGGGTTTTTTGAGGGGCATGGAGGGGATTCTTTTTGATTCTCTTGCCCATCCCACTGAAGGGGAGAGTGAGGGAACAGCTGTGTAGTGGTTTTAGCTGCCTGCCAGGTTCAACCATGACACACCTTTTTAGCAAGAGTGAAATTTTCAATTAGTTCAAAAATCACTAAGTTTCTTAAAGTTTCTTGAAAAAAAACACTCTTACCAAAACAAACTAGTACTGCTTAGAATATTGAAATGGTTACTATTTCTTCATTCACTGTGTTTTCAGTAACAATTCATTCCACAATACAAAAAAATCTTTACAATTATTAGAGAAAAAAAGCTAGAAAAGAATCACATTTGAACCATTAGTTAAGAACCACTTTGACTTGCTCCATTAGATTATCTTTTTTTTTTTAAAAAATTTGCTATTCCCCATCTCCCCTTACTTACCCATTCCATAGACATTACATTCACACTGTTAAGTTGAGATTCAAACCCAACTGTTGCATTATTAGTACCTAGATTTATAATTTTTATTTGGGATTGCCCAGCTGCAGGGAAAACTGGAAGAGTTTTCTGTAGGACAGAAAAAAGAAAAATCAGTGCCCTATCCTAAGTCACATGGAAAAAGTACTGTAATTACTGTGGTCTTGATTATTTAAATATGAAGATTAGCATTTGCCTGATGATCTGTGACTGTCAGAGGGCTGCAACTTTAATAATGGCTTTTGCCACTAGGCTCACAAGCTGTCTTACTGCCACCTCAGGAAAGTGTCTCATCCACAACAACTCCTCCATGGCCAGACGTGGTTCCTCTTTGATCACGTCCTGCAGCATGCTGCCATTACCAAGGCCATTCTGCAGTTGAAGGAATGGGCTTTTCCTACATCCTATCGCTGCCTGAGTTCCTTTGTACCATATTCTGACTCATTCTCCCCCTGGTGCTGCTGAACTGGACAGAAGCATGTATGGGCACTGCCTGGTGTGACAGCCCACAGAAATGGAACTTAGAGACTCTACTTCTTGCTCTTGCAGAGCATCAAGAGTTGTGTCTATTTCAGTTCTGCCTCAACCTTTCCTCCCTTCCTATACTTTTATCCGCTTCAATCTCTTCAGGTACATCACACAACAACAACAAGTCTATCTTCACCTTTCTGCAGAAAGTTCTTGTGCAACAGTCCAGGAAGTTACCGGCTTTAATGAAGCTTCTGCCCAATGCCAGCGTGCACGAAGTTACCGGCTTTAATGAAGCTTCTGCCCAACGCCAGCGTGCATATGTGTGCACAGCTCTGGCCTTCTGAACAGGGTATTCAGGAAGACAGCCTGGATGTGTCCCTACCAGCTTAAGGCTGGACTCTTCTTCTGACTTCAAGAGACAAAGTTGAATATAAAGCTTGTTTTGCTGTTGGACCCAGGCAATAAGAAGAGAATTCCTCATTCCTAACTAAAGCTGTTTAAGAGTTGAGTATCTTGCCTTGATAGTGCATGAAGACAGGCAGGCACCTCCAGATAGCTATTCAGATCTTGGGGTGCAATGGATCACCTCCCAGAGGTGCTGCTGATGCCCCAGCTACAGGGGAAACCTTCATCCAGTTCAGGCATGACACCTCCCTTTGGGGCAAGGAAAGTTAGGTGTGATGAATCCTGCCTTAAACAGGTATCATCTTTGCCCATGCTGTGATGATGCTTCCCAGACTGTCACACTTCACTTCCAGTCAGAATATCAGAAGAGATCAGAGATACAAAGCAGCCCCTTTGTAGGCCAAACAAGTCTCTGGTTTTCAGCTTTTAGTCTCAGTCTAAAGACCTGAGGTTGCCTTTAATGCATGATTTATGTTAGTGGCAGATGAGACGTTTTGCAGGAGGGTGTTTATAGCTAGTTAATTTTATTGTGCTAATCACACAACTGCATTAATATTTTTCCTCCCTCTGCTTCTGTGCTCATATACTTCCTTCCAAATTTAAGAATCTTGGCTCATTTTCCCCTTAAGCACACTTTATTCTGTATTAACAACTAAATGTTAATAGTAAATACTTGCATGTGGCTGAACTTACATCTATCTGCACTTGCACAAGGGCAGCAGCAACAAAAGCCAAAGATGCAAGGAACATACCGACAGTGATCTTCCTCAGGGGCCTAGTCAAACAACAACACACATATGTGAGTTTTAAGACAAGTTCAAAGTTTCAGCTGTTAGTGGTTTTCTTTTCCATGGTGGGGAAACTCAAATAACCACAACTACCACACAATCACCATTTGAACAGCCGATGTTACAGAAAGTGTTCTGCTAAGCTGGTTACCTCTCAACTCATGGTTATGCTGTCAGGAAATAGATCTTTCCTGCAGCATCTTAGTAACACGTTACTCTGCATCTCCTGGGCTCAAACATTGACTGAACATAATTATTAGGTTTCTAGAAAAGTCTGCTCTGCAGGAAGAGGAAACCTAATATAGTACAGTTGTTAGCTTTAAAACAACAAAAAGACAACAAGTTATGCTTTTTAAAAAGGGGTAACAACTAGTGTCTATATCGCTATGTTTAAATCAACAATAAATATTGAGAAAAAAAAGTCAGGGAAATATGTTGAATTAGGAGACATCTACTGACATTCAGGTAAGCCGTAAGGGTACATTTAAGGTAGATATTTATTGCCTCATTTGTCAGATGTAGAGTGTCTACAAATGAATGTTTCCAGCACAGCACATGCCCCCAGATGTCCGTAAGTAGATGGAAAAGCAGCATTGCATTGTAGCCCTATAAAAATTGTTTTAAGAATTGTATTCTCTTCTGCCTCTCCAACTTGCAAGTGCTAGTCACTTCATGACCAACATTAAAAATAATGTGTAATAGCCCTCTGAAGCTACACCTACAAGTATCCAGTGAGCCAGACTCCTCACTGGGACTGAAGAGGAAACATATCTTGTCTCAGGTGGTTTTAAGCCCAAAACATGACACATGCTAAGGATGTACGTTGTAGTTCTACTACTTATACTTGGGGAAAAGAGGGGGTAAACATTGGGGAAGTGGAAACCAGTAAACAGCATCCCTCCTTTCCTTAACTGGAAAATACTGTTACTTTACTGTTAGATTCTCTTCCTCTAGTCTGTGGTGCCTGTACATACCTCTTGCAGTATTCTATGGTTTTAATGTTCATTTCTTTAAAATATTAACTCTATCTTAAATACATTACTATTTTCTCCTTAGCTGAATGCTTGCTCTTGTTATATTAGGTTTAAAGAAACCACTAAAGTGAGCCTCTGTTGAAGTCAGGTAAGTACATCAACTTACGTAAAATTGATCTTGCATTTCTTGATTAAAGGATAAATCACAGCATCTACAACTGGGACCATTATAATAATCAGGATTGGATTCACAGTCTGTTGAAGATGAACATAAGAGAAAAAAATAAGTATTTTTTAAAGTCCTTTTTAATGAAGGGTAATACATATATATAAATAATCTTTGGGAAGTACTTAGAATTGGCAGACAGAAGATTACTGTACCTGCATTTGGTCTGGCTGAATCTGAATAGCTCCCTAGTGAAGAAAAAATAAGTTTTAATATTATGACAAGTAAAATTTATCTGAAAAGTAAATGTTAAGACATTAATTAAGGAAAAAAGTAACCTACAAAATTCCCATCCATTGTCGTGGCTTGCAGTGTCCATCTTGACCCCTTAACAAAAGAAGAGAAAGTTAAATACCACAGTAAATCGATCTTCCAAAGTTCCTCTTGCATTGTTTTCAGAAGTGTTGGGAAAGGCATGCAATACAATAAAAAAAATAAAGCTAGCTTGCTATGGGAGTATTCTTAGTCTGCAATGTAAACATTTGAACAAAGTGATCCCTGTGACTCATTCCTTTCTTTACTAGTTTTCTGAAATAGAGTGGAAAATTTAGATGCAGAGATTATCTTTCTTACTCATGTAATGAGTATTTAGTTCTGAATTTCATTTGTAACACTGATGGTTACAGCTCACTGGTACTAGACTAAAGCAGCACGATCTAGGCAATCTGGACCAAACTTCCTACAAGCTGCCTTGGATAAAGCTTTCAGCCCCTGGTTCTCAGACAACCTCCTAATTTACACTCAACTACGAAAGCCTGCTTCCATCCACCAAGTGAAGGAGAATTATAGGCTTATGCTTCTGCTTGAAGGTGTGAGGTATTTATAACAAGTTTGAGTGATTAAACAAACTGGCATCCAGGTCGTTTCAGGCCTGGTTCTCCAGAGCATTTACACTAGGACCTTACATTTAATCTCACAAGAGTGGAAGAAGTGTTAGAACTAAGAAAGCTTTCATAGAACGGTTTGAGTTGGAAGGGACCTCAAAGCCCATCTAGTTCCAAGCCCCCTGCCATGGGCAGGGACACCCTCCACTAGACCACGTTGCCCAAAGCCCCATCCAACCTGGCCTTGAACACTTCCAGGGAAGGGGCATCCACAGCTTCTCTGGGCAACCTGTTCCAGTGCCTCACCACCCTCACAGGAAATAATTTCTTCCTAATATCTAATCTAAATCTACCCTCTTTTCGTTTAAACTCATTATTCCTTGTCCTATTACCCCTTTAAATTACTGTTTCCTCTGAGTCCTAGCTGATAGGAGATTTGAGGAGGCCTCGGTCACTGAATCAGTCCTGGGCATGCCCAGATAAACTGAGTTTCCCCTGGCTGCAGAACATCCTGTACTGACATGACTTGGTAACCAGAATAAAGAATTTGCAAAGAAGTATTTTCCACCCTCCCATAGATGCCTTTTACATCTGGTGACTTCAGAGTACATAGAGTGACATGGTACAGCTCTGATTGCCAAGCCAAACAATTTCTACTTTACCTGCTGGTCAAAAAGTGCCCAGAACATGGGAAGAGGGATGTAAAGGAAAAGCACCTTCAACACCATCTTAGTCTGAGCAATCAGTCGTTTCTGCAGCAAATGAGAATTACACAAGAGGAATTAGAGGGGGAAAAAAAGACAGTTGCAGATTGCTATTTGCAGCACAGCAACAGGTAAAGACACATCATGTAATGTTTACCCACATCCTGAAGTTTCTATGTTGTGGGTATTTCTATAATTACTATTAAAAAGCACAAGGTCTGCTTGTGGGTGTGGGAATGGCCACTGGTTAAGGTGCCACTGATACCACAGACCTGCGCCTCTTGGCATATATAGTGATGGCAGCATGAGACTTTGCACTTAACGCTGTGTTATTTTTCTAGGAAGGAGACATTTGAACAACAAGTGACTGAGGAATACATTTCACACTTGAGAACTGCATATAGGCAAAAGGAAAATAAAGAGGAGAGGCCAAGGTTTGTGCTGCTGTTGGCGGCAGGGTGGACAGGCAGCAAGGGACATGGTTGGGGACTGCGGGACACAAGGCTTTGAGAGTCATGGTAAGGAGCTTGTACTGAGGCCGAGTGGATGCTGTGTTTATCCACTTCAAATGAAATTCCTAAACATAATTCTGCAGTTTGATCCCAAGACAAGTGTTATGGCCCTGAGCATTAACCATGACAGTCAACACCATGCCCATTTATCCCTTCTGCAGTCATTAAACCAGCATATTTGAAGCCAGTTTACCAAGAGAAACAAAAGTTGACAAGGATAATGCTTGCTATTTTACTAAATCAAAAACTAATGGGTGCTTATATTTGTTTGACAAGGGAAATACTCTTTTCTTCATCTCTCTCAAATTTCCCTGGGCAGCTTATGATCACACAAAGCATCAACACACAGAGCTCTGCTTTCTCCCACAGGAGCTGGGGTGATAACTTGCAGTCCCAGGGGAGCACTGAGGTTTAGCCAGACCACGAGCTTCTAAGCTATTGAGAGGCCCAAAACTATTTGCTAAGCACTTGAGGCAATGGATCAGAGCAGACAGCAGAGAAGCTGAGGGTCAAGAGATGTCACGTCACAAGAGTGCTCATGCAGTACTTACATCATACTTCTCGCTCGCCCAATCTAGCCAGTGCTCTCTCTTGGGGAACTGCTTGCTGCGATGCCGAAACCTGTTTTTGATGGCAAACTGAGGAGAGACAGAATTTTGTTTAATGGCGTTACAAATATTTATAAATGCTATAAGCTGTTTTGTCATTAAAGATGACACTCCTGCTTCGAGTGTTTCAAGGGTGCTAGAAGAGACTTATTTCTGTTAACTGCGCTAAGCATCTACAGAAATATTGCACTTAAGGCCTCACACGGCACATCCAGTGGAGTGTGCACCAGGGATTAGGTGAACCAAACAGCTCAGAGTAGCCTCTCTCAATGCGGGTGGCTGTTAGGAACTTGAAGACCTGCCTACGTCAAGAATTACTTATGTACAACAATAAATAGAAGAACACCACATGCACAGGTTTTCAGAGCTGAATGGCTGTAAGAGTACATTTCACTATGAGAAGGTACATCTTGTAGATATTCCTTATGCCTCGACACTGAATATACACAAATACAGTCCTGAAGGACTCCTAACACTTTCTGCATGGAATAACGTACAAGGCTAAGGTGGGCCTTAGGGGCGGCACTCTAAGCTATGGCCAAAGTCGCCTATAGAGATTTAGTTTAGACAGTGCTTACAAGACAAGCAATGGTCTGGGCTATTGCAAGCTGGCAGAATGAAGAAGCCCATAAATAAAAAACCAAAATCCCCTGATCTCAAAGTTGAGGCACTGCAAAGTTGGGACATGCAGTGTTATTCCTGCAGATTGAGCTCCCTTCCTCGCAGGCTTGCACTGACACGTAACCCCTCCTCACCTCCCTAATACAGTGGGGATCAATACACCTCTGCCTTGTAAACAACATTCTTCTTCTGAACAATATATTTTTGCTGATAAGATATACTAGTAGCTCTGCTCTTGGCTTGGGTCAAGGCATGTTTGTCTCTTACTACAGGGCTACATGAAGGTGCGCAAAACAGGAAGAAGTTGAGATAAGCTTTTACACATAACTGACATTTTACTTTTCCTTTGTGCATACATTCACATATAAACCAAGATATAGATAAATAAAAAGGCATTCTGAATCTGGAGGTGTCTTTAAGAAGCCTTCTGTAAGGAAAAAAAATAGTAAGAAACTTCAGAAGCTTTCCTCATACTATGACAGATTTCTGATCTAGGCAAGTTTACTGAACAGTTTTAAGAATCGCTGCCAGGGTTTGGGGGAAATACAAATAGTACTTACTCCAATGCATTTGGAAACTTGAATCATTATATTTCCTTGAGGTTGAACTTTCTTGTACATTCCACTTCCAACTACAAACACAACTACAATACACAAGCAGAAACCAAAAGCGACTCATGATTAATTGAAAATAGTGGCAAATAATTTGACATGGAAATTGTAACAGTCGAGGAGTTACATGAGGGTAGGAATAAGTCTCCTAGGGAGCAATGAAATTGCTTATTGGCATGTTATCGTACAGTAAAAGAAATCAAATTAATACCAGCGCATTGCTTCTATTTAAGACAAAGGACTAAATCTGGAAACTCTTAAGGTAAGTCCTCAGTGGGATGTTAGCTTAATTGAGGGATGATCAAAACAAGGACCACTTCAGACCTTGGCCCTGGCCTTGCTGTACCAGAATAAGACAGCTTTACAAGCTCCTTTTCAGGAGTCCAGGACTCCGCAGCCCAGGTAAAGCAGGGACACGTGAGGCTCTGCCTGAACTGCAGGACTTGCCGAGGTGTCCTTGGCTCCCACACCCAGGCACGTTCCCCAGCCTCACCCTCCCACGTGCGGGGCAGGGACATGGGCAAACCCCCACAGCCGCTGTCTGCTCTGGGCTGGGTGCACGTGCAAGATGGGGTCACTGATAGCTGGAGATCCACTGGATGAGCTCCTGGTCAGGACCACGAGGGACTGACACCTCCCAGTTTCTTCATCTTTGTGCTGCAGCAGAAAGGCTCGGGGAGTGACCCGTAGCGCAGCTAGTAAAAATGCAGGTGTTTGAGAAATACTGACAGACCAGTATGGTGTTTCTCCAGTGCAAAGGCATTTACCTTATACAGTTCACTACCCTGGACTACAGATAACTTCCAAAACCCACATTTTCTCAGAGTTCTCACACTGCATTCAAAAGATCTTGTTTATACACCCCAGTAGTCCAAGAAATATAGACAGTAAATTACATAATGTACAGAATTCAATGGTATGTTTGGGCCTGTCCCCAGCCCCATCAGTCTCTTCTGCAAAAGCAAGTACTTCAGGTTAATTCAACCTGCCCCCTGCCCAAGAAAAAAGTTTAAGTCAAAAATCACAGAAACAATCGAGTATCGGTAGAGGTTGATACCTGGAGATTTATACCACTTTCTCATTATTCCGAGATCATTATCATCTAATGACATCTATAACTCAAGTAGCAAGATGGGAACAGTTCCACTCACCCAAGGAGACAGCCATGAGGGCAGCAGGAACTCCAAAAGCTAGTGGGTAACATCGCTGTTTGCTGTGAATGCCGCACTCTTGAGCTGAAGTACAAAGTAACATTAGATAAAAGTTCCAGTTAGCATTGCCAGTACTTTATATAGGGTTTCTGTTCTTTGCATTCATTGTTGACTCAAGGAAAACAAATCTCTGCTGACACTGACAGAGTGGATGATTATTATTTAACTTATCTTTCATTATTGAAAGGGAGAATTATGTATCAAAAAAATAAAATCACAGGGTGGTTGAGGTGGAAGGCACTTCTGGAGGTCATCTGGTCCAACCCCTGTGCTCAAGCAGGGCCACCTAGAGCCATGTGGGCCAGGGCTGTGTCTAGATGGCTTGTGAATATCTCCAAGGACAGAGACTCCACAACCTCTCTGGGCAACCTGTGCCAGTGCTCAGTCACTCTCACAGTGAAAAAGTGTTTGCTGATGTTCAGAGGGAACCTCCTGTGTTTCAGTTGTGCCCATTGCCTCTGGTCCTGTCACTGGGCACCACTGAGCAGAGCCTGGCTCCGTCCTCTTTGCACCCTCCCTTCAGGTATTTATGGACATTGATGAGATCCCCCTGAGCCTTCTCTTCTCCAGGCTGAACAGTCCCAGCTCTCTCAGCCTTTCCTTACATGAGATTTTCATTTAATTTTACACTGAGGAAAGAAGAATCCTGCTAGGATGGTCAAATGGATGTTCTTGGTGGAAAAGGAACTAGATTACAAAAGTTGTGTGACAAGTAGATAACATAACAAGCTTAGCTTTTTAAAAACATCCTCCAGTAGTAGTGATTTGACTTGATAAAAATCATGCACACATCCTGAAATGATGCTCAAACTGTGGACATAGCTACAAACAGGGAAAAGTAAAAGACTAAAAATTAGTTTAGAAATTTTTTCACCATACTTCTTCTAACAGGAGAATTAGAAAGTTTGATTTGAAAAAAATAAAAATATTAGCTTGCAGCTAATTCATGTCTTGATGTAGTTGTATTGGCCTTTTAATTAGACCTGGACAGGACGTAATGGTATCACTTTCCTCAGCTGAACTTGTCCATTTTTCCAAGGTAGTTTTCACCCCATATCAGCATGGAAGTAAACTGCATGTTGTACCTTATGCATATCTCCTTCCATTTTGATAAAAGATAGAATTTGCATTAAGCAAACATCTAAAGTGCTTCTACGGAGTTTGTTTCGGTCAAGAAATCCAAAGGCCAGAATTTCAGCCCAGTGCTTTAGAGTTATTCTGAGAACTTGCATGCTGTTTTCCTTCTTTTGAGAAAAACAGCCTTCCTCAAACTCCTGCCAAGCACATCCATACAGCACCATCTGTGCAAGCTTGCCATGAAAATCCATATGCAGATGGATGAGCAAATTGTTTGCTTTTTGTTTAGGATCACGCTATTCATTATAAGCAGAAGATAACTTTCTCCTTCAACAATTAAAAACATGATTCACTTTGTCACATGAATAAATGTGTTTCCACGGGCATAGATGCTTCTTAGTCTGGAGAAGAGGAGGCTGAGGGGAGACCTTATCGCTCTCTACAACTGCCTGAAAGGAGGCTGTAGTGAGGTGGGTGTTGGGTCTCTTCTCCCAAGTAAGAAGCAATAGGTCAAGAGGAAACAGCCTCAAGTTGCATCAGGGGAGGTTTAGGTTGGATATTAGGAAAAATTTCTTCACCGAAAGAGTGGTCAGGCATTGGAACAGGCTGCCCAGAGAGGTGGTGGAGTCACCATCCCTGGAGGTGTTCAAAAACCATGTAGACATGGCACTTCGGGACATGGTCTAGTAGACGTGGTGGTGTCGGGTTGACGGTTGGATTTGATGATCCTAGAGGTCTTTTCCAACCTTAAAGATTCTATGATACTTTGTACAGATACACTTCAGAATAGTCTCCACTTCCAGAGTAGAGGGCGCTCTCCTCCTTCCCACCAAAGAGTACAACTCTTTCTTGTGTGATTGTTTTGAAGGCGTTGGAAGAGGTGCCATATTTGTATCTCTATGGAATTAAAGTGTGCTAGGCACAAGAATTGATTGCTTCAGCAATTTCAGATCAGAAATACTAGATCTGAAGGCAATTCAGATCTCAAATTGGCTTGGTTTTGACAGTACCTCACCTGCAAAAAGCTGGATGACATGCAAGAAAACTTGAAAGCTATTTGCCAGATAACGCCACAGGACATCAAAGAACAGTGGAAGCCAAACTGTTCATTTAACCTAACTGGACTGCAATACAACACTTATCCTTTATTGATGTTTAAATATTTTATAAAGAAACATGTGACCTTACCTCTGAGAATTGGGGTGATTATAGTAGATAGGAGACTTCCAGCATTAATGGACAAATAAAAGATGGAGAAGAATCTACTTCTTTGTTTTTCCTATGGTAAAAACAAAAAAGACGTTTAGAGAGGCTTAGCCAGAACCTCATTGGTCAGCCTAGATCAAACCATCAGCAGCTCTGTTTGCACAGTTCAAGACAAAAGTTATCTAGCTCCTTCTTCAGCTACTCAGGAAATACTACAGTGATGCACATATCTAAATATGTATATTAGAGTATTACAGTGGTCAAACATTAGTATTCGTATGATTTAAAAGCTGAAAGATATCATTACCTGATCATCTTCAAACTGATCTCCACCAAACGCTGACACACAAGGTTTGATCCCACCAGTACCAAGTGCAATGAGGATCAAGCCAATCATGGACAGAGCACTGGGAGAAAGAAAAGAGAAAAAGGGGAAAAAAAAAAAAATCACTTCGCTTTCTTACTTGAAGTGTACATAAGAGACTGATTGCAAGACAGTTGAAATTCAAGTAGCATGAATTTAAGGTGTAAGTTGTCCCACCCTCCATCAGCCTGGGAAAAACCCATGTATGAGGCAACTCACATGTGCACCGATACATTATCAGGAAAGCCATCCCGGTTGTGATCCGTCAGGTCATTTATGGAGCTCACAGACATGACTGCCTGCCCAATCGTATAGACAATCGATAGGGAGACAATGGTCCTGTTATAACAAGAGGAGATAAATTTTTAGATATGTTAACACAATTACACACATATACGTACACACACAGATAATGCAGACATTTGCTCATTTCAAATATCCTTAGTAAGGAAGCATAACTAAAAGATGCAACAAGTTATGGACTCCATTTATCACAAGCTACTGTAAAAATCTGTCCATATACCTCTGTCACAATATTTCTATTCTGTTATTTTTTTAAATTATTATTATTTTAGCTAGCCATGTTTAATTAAGCAAGGCAAGATAACAAATGGATTCTTTAGATATTACAAGGTTACAGGAGATATTTAAATATCTTCAGTGGCTGCCTTTTTAATAGCCAACTCAAGAATGTCATTATCATATTTTATATATGGTGAAGTTCACATAGACTACTCTACAACACTGAAGTATGCCATTTACACTGATTTTAATATTGATTAAACATTCTCTATGTTCTTTTATATTTTAGCTGCAAGGAGTGAAAAAATCTAAAAAATTAAAAATCTACTTTAAACATGGAAACTCCCCCAAAACGCTGTCATGAACAACAGCTCTATTACCCCACTCTCTCAGTTGTGAGTGTACCAACACTTTAAACTCAGGGTTGAGTGAGATCAGCACTGAAGAGTAGAGACTGCAGGATTTCAGTCTGACTTCCCTCTGCCAGGAGGTGCCTAGGAAGGTAATACGATGGACCACCAGCCCCCACCACCATGCTGTTTTAATTTTGTTGATGCTTAAGTACATGACTATAGTTTAATCCACGTTCATCTGCTTCCTTGGCTGGGTCTCCATTCGATAGGTATAGACCCAGATCTGCAGTTTTGAGGAAAAGCAGGAGAAATAGGATGCAATAATGTGAAATTATTTAAAAACTCTAGTTTGCAGGAGAAGCAGTCCCAAAGCCAGTGCAGCCCATGACAATGAAGGGCAAGGCTCAAGGACCCAGGACAACCTGAATCTATTTAACAAAGGCAAGAGATCCTCACAGCAAGCTTGGAGCAGCCTGATACAAGAGGGACAGAGGAAGCATCACTCACACCATCGATGGAGTAGTTCTCACTTTAGAACAAGGTTTCTCTGACTTAAAAATGCTCTTCCCTCTAGCAGGATAAAAATCTATACGAAGTGGGACAACAGTGAATCTACTAAATAGCAGATAAATGAGAACTTTTTTTTTAATTAGCACTTCCATACAGTTACTTTGGTTGCTTAACAACTTGGGAGAAAGTTTCCAATTGAAGTTAAACCTAAGTTGACCAGGAGAGAAACTTTTAGGTTTTTATTTGTGAGGCTCATAAGCATGTGGGATGACAACACTTACGTAATTGGTACTGCATAGATGGTACCCAATTAAAAAATAATTGTGATTTCTGTACTGTTTTCCCCAAGAACTTGACATCTAACAATGTGAGCAGGTCCCACCATGCTCCTTGGCAGACATTGCACAGAGTACATGGACTGTGTAAGGTTTTAGTCTCTCCTATAGGAGTGCTTAACAATGCTTGGGTAACCTCCTCGTCCTCTTGTCATCACAGATTTTTTTTTTTAATTAATTATTGTTTAAGACTTCTTCATGGCACCTCATGTATAGTTTAGGGCATCTATACATTAAAATCAGAAAATTGTTTAATTTTCTTTTTCCCCACCAAAAATCATGGGGTTTTCCTTGTCAAGCTTGACATTCCAGATTTAAGCCCTGAGCCATCCTACCAAGTTCCTGTTAAGGGTCTGGGGGCTTGCAGCTGTAGCACCAGTGTACACACGTACCAGAGGAGAAGGGATGCAAGGTCTGCAAAGCTTCATCTGATAAAACAGGTAAAAGCCAAAATAGATTTTAAAAAAAAAATGATACCATCTGAACAATCGAATGCACATATTTTCAGGCTGCAGTCTGCAAGTTATCAAGCTACTTGCAATGGCTTATACCAATCAGGCCAGCTCCACAGAGCGCACTGGACAGTGGTTGCAGCCCTGGTCTCCCAGCGGCTGTCAACACAGCAGAAGATGGTGCAGCCTTCAGGTGACTGACCGCATGGCCAGCTTCATCTCCGATCTCTGGGAGACCTTTGACAAGTCAGCTAACATTCCTGACTCATATCCCTCCATAAAATCTTTATTGTGCTTTTTTCTGGCAAAGTAAACACTATTAGAATCACGACCTCAGTAAACAGAGCAAGATTAGGCTGCTGGAAATAAATTTGGTTACATTTCAAAGCACTTCATTCAGCGGTACTTTTCTGAGCAACTAGCACACAGGTAAAAACCCAGAATTCATCATTTAGAGAAAGAGTTGCAACTCAGTAAAGCCTCCCACTGAGCTGTCAAGCCAATACTGAAATCACAGAATATTTTAGAACATATTCTAAGCCTCAGTTAATACCAGATAACAGTCTTTCGCTATTTCATTGGCCAACTGTGATAGGTAACGATTCAATCCAATGTAATTGTAACCTCCAGTATGTATTTATTTTCAGAGCTTGGTGAATTCTTTCCTTAGTTTAGCTTACATTTTGTCCAGATGAGAGAAAAAACACGCATCATGCGTGGAAAGCAAGCTACTACCCTTAACTGATTAGAAAAGCCATAACATTTGTTAGCTTGTAGTGCAGTTTCAGGTCTGAGCTAAAAAAATTAACACTTCAAGCTTTGGGAAAAAACCACAGAAAATCCTGGACTAGCCATCACCAGCTCTGAAGCTGTTGTTCTGAGCTGCTGCTTTAGGAGATGGTTTAAGTAACACTGTTCTCAGGTGAGCTTTCGTGGGTTTTGGTTGGTTTCAGAGGAAGCACTCACTTAAATTTTCCCAGCCAAGAGTCCGCAATGAGCGCTCCGAGGATCGGTGTCAAGTAGCACAGAGCAACAAACGTGTGGTAGATGGCTGTAGACAAGTTGTCATCCCATTGCAGAAAATATTTGAAATACAAAACAAGCACCGCTGTAGGAAGAAGAACAAAACAACGGGTTACAAACCAAAGTCAGAGCTGGGTAAGCAATGGCCAGACTGAGGAGACACAGGACACGGGACATACCTCGCATGCCATAGTAGGAGAACCGCTCGCAGAACTCATTGACGACGATGAAGAAGATGCTCAAGGGGTAGCCAAAACAGCTCACCTGGAGGCAAGAGACAGACAGCATGAGCCCAGACAGAGCTGTGCAACACAGGCTAACACTGCTCACTGCGACCTAAGGCTTGAGCAAGCTCAATATAGACTCAGCAGGAGTGGGTAGGTACTCGGGGGTTAGGAGGCTGCACGAGCTTCTGTGGAACGACACTGCCTTACTTGAACTGGGAGTCAATTCTCACTTTCCCCTCTTGGCCCCAGAGTTCTACAGGCTTCTCACCTGCCCTTTGCAGGAGATCTTTGGCAGTGCTATATTTGCCCTTTAAGCATTGTGCTATGCACATTTGGAATCTTCAGTATCTACCCTTAGAGTAATCTTGACTGGTATCCAAAAATATGCAAAAAGCAAATGTTTTTTTTAAAAAAAATAATCAAAACCCAAAGCCAACAAAAACCCCACCACACCAAACCCGCACAGCACACACAAATTAGAAGCCTGGCACTATTTTTAAATACCTCCAGTTGAGACAGATAAACATTTTATTGAAACAAGTCTCTTGGGAAACCTCACTATCCTTACAAATACTCTGCTTGATGAAGAGTTCTTCATTTCTTCAGACTTGCCAAATGAGCCAACTTCACTCCTAACCTAAAATGGCACGGCATTAACTGCCAGATTTACTGAGCCTTCACCTGCTACGATAGGCATCTCCACAGTCACTATCACACAGCTTGTGACATGGCTCTTGCCATTGTGACAAAGGAAAAACATGCATCAGGTACAAATCTGGCACAATCAGTAGAATTGGAAGTTTAATTTCTGGTCACCTACTTTTCTTAGTGGATGAATACATTATACCATTTCTATTAAAATTACTAGGAATGCAAGTTGAATGTAATCCTCCCTTTTTACCTTTTTTAATGGATTTACTTCTACAAGTTGCAAAAATCAAATTTTTAATAAGCCTCAGGACATCCCAAAGGTAAGACAGTTATGCAACTTAAGCATGGACAAGAAAAAAAAAAAGGCATTGGTTGTCTTCATGTTGTGAGGGTTTAGGAATCAAACCAATCCATATTTCATGTGAAACAGAAAAAAGTTAACTCTGTAGATCAAAAGAAAATAAACTTTACACGGGAAAATCCTGCCTGACATGAATAAATCAGAGACCCCGCATCTCCAGAAAAAGACACTGGACAGAACCTTAATGAACATTGCAACGCTTCACGAGATTCGTGTGTTATGATAAGCTTTTTGTGAATACTGCAAGATACATGAAAATAAGAGACAGTGGCAAGAGTATTGCTGACTTAATCCGACTTGAACGTACAGATGTGCAAGGAGCCTGAACAGCACTGATTTTTTTTTTATCAGTTGAACCAAGTATAGTGTGCATATTATCATAGTTTGATAAGCTGGCTTCACTGAAAGAATGTGACTTCAGCAGAGGTGAGTGCCAAGTGGGACTCATCTAGCTATAAAGCAACAGAAATTAGAGGCTTAAACAGAAACTTGTCACTCTTGATTTATCACATCCTCCACGGGCAGAGAGAGGTGTCTCCAAAGGAAGACCATCCACAAGTACCCCAAAATTAGATAAGATTCACTTGAAGGTGCCTACTACCCTCACCTGAAGATAGCAGGAGCTCTATATGACCAGCCCCAACTTGGACACAGCTGTTGGTAGACCGGAGTTCATACAGAAGAATGCCACCCAGCCCTGTCCATCACTAAGCCAGGCAAACATTTGTGCTCCTGAGGAGGTGAATGGGGAACCACATTGTGAAGGTTTGGCTCAGCACCCACAGACATACCCAACAGGTTTTGATTTCAGCAGTTGTTGGGTCAGGCCCTAGAACAGAAAGCCACTGTGCAGCTGCCTTCTGCCACTGTAATTGGGTGTAACCTAGCTGAGGAGGAGAGGATGTCCCCATCTGAAGCAGGAGACAGCCTTCCCTGTGTTTGGGCTGCCTACAGAGAAAGAAAGGAAAGGGCAGTTCTGGCAGGACCCATCTCCACCAGAAATTCACAAAACCTCACTAAAACATTTCAGTCCTTCTGGCAGTTCTCAAGCCTCCCCAGTATTAGGCCACCACACTGCCCAACCGCTTATAGTGTAAACAGTGTTACGTGGTGATCTGGGGAGGTAACAAACTTCCACCAAGGCTGGGTTTCTGTTTTACGTCACTAGCACATCCTTGGCAGAGATGTCCTGCACTCACACACCAGCACAGCAGCCACAGATGGGTTTTTACCAGCTGCCTCCAAGCTGGTGGAGATTTGCGTGTCACAGCTGCGGCTGAACACGAACAGGGGCACGCAGCAGAAAGCTACAGGGTCTTTCCCAAGGCAATAGACCTTCTATTTCTCCAAGATGATACAAGCAAGAAGAGAATATGCAGTTATACCTTATAATATACTGTCCTCTTAAACCTCTAGTGCATTATACGTGTGTATACACACACATTTACTGAAACATCTTCTGTTGAGATCTGTATTGGCCAGAAAGCACTGGCTCTACCACTGAAGAGGTAACCCGAAGGTTATGTTTTACAATGCTCTCTGCAACCTTCCCCTGCCCTGGGGTTGCCAGGCACAGGTCTGACACCACCCCGCTGCGCAGCTTTGACTTTGGCTGCTGAGGAAGCCACTAAGCTTAAAAAAGCTGCGGGGAAAGTCTAGAGAGTAAAATCTTGTGAGATAAGAAAAGCAAAGACAGGGACAGAGTTGCTGAGACAGGTGTCATTAACAGTTCAAAGATTCAAGAGGAAGAACACTAACACCAAAAGGTAAAAGGGTCCTAAGGAGAGTCAACAGATGATGACAACGCAGCCATATGAAGGATGGGCTCCAGGGACCCTTCTCCTCCCAACCCATGTCTGCTTAGTCAGCCCAGGCTCTTCAGACATTTTATCAGGGTGGTGAGCACACTAATGCTTCGCTTGGATTTAATGAGCTACCAGGCTGCTTTGCATGTGGTGGCCAATAACTCGTTATTTTACACTCTTAAAGTATGTTTACAGGACTTTTTTTTGGTGTGTATTGCTAAAGTTACCCAAACAGCATAACCCAAAGAGAATCAGTATAATAACTTTTTATAAGAGAAAACAATACTTACCGACTTGCCCTTACTTTTTGCAGCTGTGGAGGAAAAAAAAATACAAGTTAATGGAAACTACTAAGTAACATCCCTTTAAAACCACTGGAAGACACAAGTAGAGTTCAGCTCAAAACAAATCATGAAACAAACACAGTATTGTACAGGAAGAGTAAGTTTTCAGTTTGTTAAAGGGGGACTTTCTATGGTGCAAGGAGGTTATTAGGAAAAACTTCTGCCTTTTGTTTTTCCAGGCTAGGCATAGACTCACACATACTCCCAGGGAAAAATCAAAAAGGACTGATGAGACAAAGCATCCCATCCTACTACGGCTGCCCACCACACATCATCCAAGGTGGTGGTAAACCACACACAGATGACTCCTGGTTTAATTCACCCTCATGGATGTCACCCTGAAAGCAACTGAAGGGTAAGGAATAGACTGAAGATGCCCTGCCAGGGCCAGATGCCAAGTCCTAAAAAGGGACAAGCTCCCCATAGCTCAGACTGAAGGAGGGCTGAATACGTGGCCCAGTGGAGTCATCCACGTTAGCGGGCATTCCCATAACCTGGAGATTAGCCTGGGAAGCCCTGGAAGCACAGGAGGGGTCCCACTGAGGCCAGCAAGACCAGACAGCTGCTTGCAGCCCTGAAGTCACTTCCAGCTGCTCACGGCAGGTTTCGCTACCCCGGCAGCCCTTCAAGCAGTGTCCTGCAGGGCTTGCTCGGCTCAGAGGACAGGCTCGAAGGCTGAACTTGCACCATTTCAGATAAAGGCTCTGTGCCCACATGGCAGGTGTCAGCATTTCCTATAATGACAATGAACTCACTTATGTGGTTTTAAGATAAGTACAAGATGGGGATATCAAAGTTCACAAATGAACTTTGCAAATGAAGTGTGCCCATAATAGACCTCTAAAAAAAATAAACGTTTACTGAGATCCTTATTTAGTCCATAGTTCACAAAGGATGAAAACAGCTGACAGCAACACTGGTGTTTGACACAATACTAAATAAAGTCACTTTCAATAATTATTGAAACAAATTAATCTAATTCTCTCCTTCACTGCTGTGGACAACTTCACAACAGAGACAGTGGTATTATGCAAGTAATTCAAGAATATATTTTCCTAGAAAACAAGTAACATCCAGAAAGTGCTAACACGCCGACTTCAGGGCACATACAGATACCTGAATCAATAAAGTCATTGGTAACGTCCTTTACTCAACTCATGTAAGCAAATATACTGAAGGATGCCAAGTCACTAGCGATAGAGACTATCTTCACAACTCCTTGATTATTTCCACTTGTTGGCCTTTCCAGCGCACATGCATTAGACTGCTGGTTTTTTATAATGCATACAGGGAACACAGGTTTAGGCAGCTCACTCCTATCTGTTAGCTAAGCCTTGGGAAAAAACATATCAAGGAACTTGTAGTTGGTTGGGGGTTTTTTTTGGATTTTCTGTTGAGGTTTTTTTTGGTTTTTTGTTTTTTTCCAGAGAGTAAAAGCATCACCTCCACAAGAAACCCTATGCAGAGAACACTGCAGAGTCATTTTTTCTAGACAACATTGACTGACTTCAGTGTTTGAGATGCTCTTTTCCTCAACCAGTTTGACTTTACCCCTTAGTCTCCTTTTATGGTGACAGTCTGAAATCCCCTGATGGCATTAAGCAAGCACTGCTAAACCTGAAATTCAGTTTCCAAGGAGACCACCTAGAAAACCACAGAGCATTTTACACAAATGTCTGTGATAAATAGAGGGTGTGCTAGTGCACATCTCATTGGTACCTCTCATTCTCTCCCACGAAGAACGACCTGCAGAACCGTTCATTTTTACTAAAAAAAAAGTGAAGAGCTTTGCATTTTTCCTCCAAAGTTATGTACTTTGTACTCCTTTAAGATATTAACATCTTTTTAAACAGTGTAAAGACAGAAGGCACTCAGTTCTTGGCTTGAGCACTGAATCTAAGTAGTTATTTATCGGTGGGTCACTCTTCTCCTTCCCATGTTTGCAAACAAGGTGGGGGCAGGCAAACAGCTCTGACCCCTTCCCCAACAGCTCCCACCAGCACGGTTCCCTGCAGTCGCAGAGATGCTGTGGGATGCTGCAGCTCTCGAGGGTCATGGTCCACGTCACAAGATGGGAACGCATTGCCTTGGTCCATGCGGCCATCACCGCAACTTTACCTAGCTGAAATATTTTGTGTCCGTGGCCAGGTTAACTCTGTACACAACCGTACTGTCACCTAGGATGTTCCTGGCTCCAGAGCAAGCCCGCTCTCCTGCCACCCAACTTGTGGCACAGCAAAGCCTGTTGCTTCTACTCCTTGGAGCAGCCTTACAGTGCCTACACAGGGATGCTGCTGCCATCAGGACAAGCGACTCCAGGAGTCCCTGCTTCACGCTTTGCTCTTCCAGAAAGACACTGACACAGAAACCATCAAATCAAGCCTACAATGCAGCAAACCCGATACTACATGAGCAGACCCAGCTGCATCAGGTTTCTCTCAATTCCCAGAGCCTTCACCCTTTTCCCAGCTGGCTGCCGCAGCCAGCAAGACCTTGATGCCCCTCTGGGCAGCAGCACTGCCGAGCTCTGCCCGCGCACCGCTACAGTTTCCTGTCCCAAAAGCGCAGCGGTGCTTTCTCATTTTTCAGCACACCAGCTTCCTCTTCCACATATGACAAAGCTTCTCAGGAGCTGTTTGCCTGGAGGCACACCAATGTGCTCAAACACTACAGGACCAAGGTTCCAGCAAAGGGCGATGGAGAACTAGACCCCAGAAAAGCCTCATTTGTGGCTTTACTACTTGGGGTTCCAGTTTAGACAGGAACAAATCTCCAGGAATAGTTAGCTAAATAAGCTCATCCCTTATCTGAATCTTCCAGCTGTGTTTCTATGTATTTAAAGAACACTGATTAGGTCAACTCCAGGTAAACTCTCTTGTGAAAAAGAATTATTCAAGAACTACGAGAAACACCACATTTAACTTGCGCTAGGATTTAAAATTCAAAGCACCGTAAAAGTTTAAGATAAACCTTACTAGCTCCAAGAGCTTACATCACTTCGCTTTCACCAGGGTTTCAGTGCAGGCTCACGCAAACTGGCTCTAGCCTTGCCAGAAGGAGAGGGCTGGTGAAGAAGCGGTGGCCGGGGGTGGCCCGG